AGGGGGGAGAGATAGGAGGGTGGGGGGGGGGCGAGAAAGAACGTACGGGAGAGAGGAAAGAGAAAAGGAGATCGCACGATTGACGCGAACACAGCTTCATCATAGTGGCAACTGACGTCGAATAGTTTGTTCATGACCCATGCTCGAGTCCGTGCTTTCCAAGAAAACAGGTCACGGTAATCACGTGTGCGAAACTACGAAATTGCTTCAAGCTCGTCTGCCTCTCCCTTTCTTCTCTCTCTTTCACACACGCACACACACACACACTCTCTCTCTCTCTCTCTCTCTCTCTCTCTCTCTCTCTCTCTCTCTCAATCTATCTCTCTCTCTGTCCCTGTTTCTCCAAAACAAACACGTCGCCTTTGTGGAGACGAGTGGATCGAATCTTGGAGAAGCGACAAACCCCTACGCTCCGTTCTTATCCATCAGACGACGGGCGACGCCTGATCCAAGCATCGTCCAAGGGTTGTCTCAAGAAATTTGGGCTCCAGCATATCGTGCGAGGATCTACATGTTTTCGCCTCGAGGAGTGGGCTCTTCGGGGCCGACGAAGCGCGCGCGGAAGCGAACTCCCCGGATCACGTGGGTGGGTCGAGGTGGACCGGCGGCGGTGGCACGGTCGCGAGAAGAGAGAACCCTCCTTCGTCATGTCATTACAGTGTCCAACTGTATGTTCGGTTCTGATCCGGTTTCCTTTCAACCATCACAACGAAAACTCGCGCTCTCCGTGCGAGGAGACGCTTACAAAATGCAAACGCGAATGCAAGAACGCACACACGCACACATTATTACACAATGTATCAGCAGTAGACAGGTAAACNCTCTCTCTCTCTCTCTCTCTCTCTCTCTCTCTCTCTCTCTCTCTCTCTCTCTCTCTCTCTCCCCTTGAATTTCTCACATCACTCTTCCTCGTTCGCACGCTCGCTCGCTCTCTTTCTTTCTCTCTTTCACATTCAATCACTCCCTCTAAACATTCTCACCGCGTTTCTCTCTCGCCATACACTTTCACCTCTCTCCTGCTCATTCTCTCCCTCTCGCGAGAGACAGATCTCCTCGAGTACCTCGGAAGCAGCGGACAGATTTTCGGGGCGCTCGCGCGCGCCCCCGCCCGCGAGACACAGCTCCTTCGGGCGCGAGCGCGCGCGTTACAATTGCAAAACACCGTGTATGTATGTTGCATGTGTATATATGTACGTGTGTGTATGTGTATACAGATCTATCTCGATCTTTCGGGCCGGCTCTATAAAGGTTCTCGTCGTCGTGTGTGTCATCGTGTGTGAGTGGCTAATCATATTATCATCATCATATCGTCATCGTCGCCGTAATAATAATATCGCATCATCGTATCGTATCATCGAAGGGGCAGGGAGGGGCGCAAAATTAGAGAACGTATCGGAGGGTGGTGATGGTGGTGGTGATTGGTCGAATGATTGATCGATTGATTTGTGATGGTTGTGTTGTTTTGTTTTTGGTGGTAATGATGGTGGTGGATGTGATGGTTGTTGTTGTGATGGTGGTGATGGTGGTGGTGATGGTAGTGACGGTGGTGATGGTGGTGTTGGTGGTGGTGCGGGCGTAGCTGTGAGGTGTTTTTTTCTGTTTTTTTTTTGTTGTAGTTGTAATCTTATCTCGTCTGTTTTACTCGGTTGTTTCTTTTCTGCATTTTTTCTCCCTTGCTTGCTTGCTTGCTCGCTTGCTTGCTTGCTTGCTTGCTTGCTCGCTTTCTTTCTTTCTCTCATTTAAGGGGTTCAAGGTCAACGGGGACTCGGGGCGGGCGGGCTCGGTCGGGGGTCGGGCTCGCTCACTATGCTGTGTGGTAGTCCGGGCAGGCCGGCGGTGGGGGGCGCCGCCGCGGGACCGCCGCAGATC